AATCCTCCACTTCGGTCCTATCCACCACAGAGGATGATCGACTAGGGAAGCACAATCCACCGGATTTTCAGTCGATGCAACATGATCCCAATGCTTACGTGGAAGAATCTCAAGTATCGAAGATGTTCTATTAGCCACGTAAGTGTTCCATTTACGCGGATGTCCTACCAGCCATTGCAGGACTATGATCGAATCCGTCCAGGCGAACCGGTCTACCTGGAAGCGTTTGAGAGGTTCAGCAAATTGTTTCAGCAGCTTGGCGAGTAATTCAACGGACCTGAGATACACGACCGCTGAGTACGCCTCCTCAGAAGCGTCAGAAAAGCCATGTAATTCGATGTGGTTGTCGTAATTCGCTGCCCATCTTGGAATCCTGATCTTCTCCAGGTAGTGTAGGTTTGCCTTCAAATCGACCCACATTTCTTCAACGACAGGAGGTAATGGCCAGTTTAGGTCGTACAACCAGCAATGTTGAAATAGAATTTTAGCTCGAACGATGACCGGCGCAAACCACCCGAATGGATCGAACAGCCTGGCGGAATCCGACAATAGCTGGTGCTTCGTATTGGGACCATCAATCTGCAGATTTACCTTGAGTGTGAAGACGTCTATGTCCGGAATCCAATGAATTCCCAGGGCTTTCACCGAATTGCGTTCATCCGGAAACTGTATCTGTACTGCGGTAATGCTGACTTCAGGTAGCGACTTCAGAACCGCCGCCGAATTGGAACTCCATTTCCGTAATGTAAATCCAGCACTCTCTATGATCTCGTTGATCTCCTTGATCAAACGAATGGCTTCTTCTTCCAATTTGCTCCCGATGTAAGATCGTCGACGTATGTATTCTTCATGATCCGTTCAGCTGCTTCAGGATACTTCCCTTTGTATTCTTCCGCTGCCGTCTTGAGCGCCGCCATGGCCAGAAATCCAGAGTTCTTGAGTCCATATGTCACCGTGCGAAGCCGGAAGTGTTGTATCGGCTTGTCCGGCGAACTTCTCCATACCACACGTAGGTAGTCTCGATCGTCAGGGTGCGTAAGTACTTGACGGTACATTTTTACTGCGTCCGCCGTAAAAACCACATCGAAGAACCTGAACTCCATCATGATATCGAATATCTCAGTGTTAATGTTCGGGGCGTCCAGTAACAAATCATTCAGTGAGACTCCAGAAGTCGTGGCACATGATGCATCGAACACAACTCGGAGTTTGGTCGTGGTGCTATCTTCCTTTACGACCCCATGATGCAGCAAATAATATGAGTTCGTGCAATTAACCAGAATCTCTGTTTCCGGAATCAGCTCCATATGGCCCAAATCCTGATACTCTTGCATGAATGCAACGTATCTCTCCTTGAAGCTGCTGTCGGTCTCGAACTTCCGTTCCATTGCGCGTAGCCTACGGACTGCTGCGGTCAGCGAATCTCCAAGTTGCTGCTTTGAATCGTTCATTGGCAATCGAATGATAAAGCGTCCATCTTTCGAGCGAGTGTGCGTCTTGTTAAAATGATCAACGACCCTTTGCTCCTTTTCTGTCCATTGCTTAGCTTGACGAAGCTCCTGATCTTCCCAGAACAATCGCAGGGTGCGATCGATGTCGAAATCTTGGTGAAGATTGATTGCCGAGTGATGTGTGTGCATACACCATTGCTTCGAGATTCTTCCTGCAACCATCCACCCGAAGATAGAACGTTGTGCTACAGGAATACCGTTTGGATCCTTGACCTGGCCGGCTTGCAGTACGGACAGGAAGACATCCGATCCCAGTATGACCTCAACCGAGCTTGGTTGATTGAAGTGGGGATCCGCCAGTTGCAGACCCTTCAAGTATGGCATGCTTGCCACGTCGAAACGCTGGCACGGCAGGGTTGCCGTGAGCCTTCCAAGAACAAAAGCTTGAGTGGTGAGTTTAGTTTCCTCGTTGAAACGCGATGAAATCACCAGCGTGACAATGCTGGCAGTGGTACCGACGACTTCACCGCTGACACCAGTGATCTCCAAAGAAGCGTTGCTACGCCTCAACCCAAGGCGGTTGGCACACGCTGTCGTGATGAGAGATGCCTGGGAACCACAATCAATTAGCATTCTTACGTCGTGTAGCTTCCCATCACCTCCTCGAAGTTTTGCCACCATCGTTGGTAGCAGTGCGAATGCAAACGGTCCGTGGTTTTCAGCCACTGTTTGCGCTACGTTGGTAGAGATCGATGCGACCTCCAATTCCGGTTCCGGTTGCGAACTTCCTTGACCATCTTCCTGCTTTTCATCCGGTTTCTTGACTTCCCGCTGGCATAGCATTGTATGGTGCCGTTGGTTGCACTGTGAAGTGCGACATACCGACTTCGACTGACACCGGTTCGCTGTGTGGGATGGACGCAAGCAATTGAAGCACAGTTTCGACTTAAGTGCCAATTCCCTACGCGCCGCCACATCCATGGCCTTGAATTGTTCGCAGTGGTAAGTTGGGTGATCCATGCTGCACTTCGCACACGACACATGTGCAGCACCAGCATGAAAGGCTTGAAACTTCTTCTCGGCTCCAGTTGCCTTCGAAAACTCCTTCTTCGCAGGTTCTCCCAGCTTCCTATAAAACGCCGAACAAGTTTCCAGAGCATCGCAGCGTTTTTGCAGGAACTGCGAACTTCGGATTTTCTTCGTCAATGATTTTCTGCGCCCACAGTGAGCGTGTCTCTCGGTCCACCTTCTCAAGCAGCAGATGGATGAGCCAAGGATCCCGTGTTTCGTACTCGTTGCCAAGAGCTTTTAGCTGTCGGATGGTGTCATCAGAAGTAGCCACCAGTTTCTTCAATCCGCTTGCGTTGGTGGTTGATGGCTGATCAACGAACTCACGAACGAGGGCAAACACCGTGTATTTTTTCTTATCGTAGTGCGTCACGAGTGTTTCCCACGCTTCGTTGTAGTTTGCGTCGCTGATTGGGAAGGAATTCACCATCCGCTTTGCTTCACCGTCCAAATAGGAAAACAAATACTGCATCTTGACGGAAGCTTTCAGATCCTGCCTGTTGTGGATCGTGCTGACAAACAAATCCTTAAGCGAATTCCACGCCGTTCGCTCTCCTCGGAAAATGGGAATGTTTAGTTGCGGTAGCTTCACATTCACTTGGGGTTCCTGATTCCACACCTGACCGCCCGCTGCCGGCTGCTGCGGTGGCTGGTTTTGTCGATCCAGCATTGCCTGCTGCGTTTCCAAAAGTGTCTTGATTGCATCCCGCAGATCACTAGACGACTCATTCCTTTCACTTTGCTGGGACATCTGGTCTTCATTTTCTCCCAGGTAACCCGTGTAGGTCTTTTACTTGAAAATAGACCTCATCAAATCGGAGCCGGTGGTTGAACACCGATGCCACATCCTCCAGATTCGCAATGTTCTCCTCAATCGTCGTTTGAACGGCTTCGAAATTTGCTGCAAGTTCGGTGAGCTTCTCCCGACGTTCATGCACTTCCCCGTACGATGGGTTCCGGGTGTGAAGCGATTGCGCGACGGACAGCTCCCCCTTTATTTTCGCGAACATAACCTCTCGCTTCGACAAAAACTTTTGCATATCCGGCGGATCCATTATCCGGTTCGAAGGACCAAAAAACTATGTACGAACCGAAACGAAAGGTCGAGACGAACCTGGACTAAAAATTGAAACCCGAGAACACGTTTTTCGGAACGGCAGAATTTTCCTATCGGTTGTAACAAATAAAATGTGCAGACAAACTTGTCTTAACGTGTTTATATTTCAACTGTTCGAATACAAGTGTTTTGTTTGTTTTCTCTTCGCTTTGCGCTGGCAGATATTTGGCGCCAGCAAGGTAAGTTGGTATTGTAGGTATGCTGATTGCTCGGGAGGTAGGGATGTCGTCACAAAATCCTCAAACAATTAGTGACTTATTTGGATGGACACCCTGATATAGGTAATTGACACTGATCATAATCTTAAATGGGATGCTGTGATGCGAAATGCACAATTATCAGTTGCGTCATTTGTACCACGCCGAGTTCTGATAGTTGCAATCAAGGCAGCGTGGAAAGGTCGGCAAGTGTTCTCAATCCGACTCAAATAGTTCAGAACATTTGTCAACATCATCCCCTGGTGGAACTCTACATTCTGTTCCGCCTGGTACTCTCTTGACACGGCACATCATGGGCCGGGACGCTCAGTATTTACAGCACCGTGGAATCTACATGGACGAAGAACACGATCCCCGGACGACCCGTTCTTCAAAATAGTCCACAGCTCCGTGCAGTCCAATGCGAAGAATATGCTTCGATGGATCGGCAGTTTTCTGCCCGAACTCGGCTTATTCAACGACACGTAGAAGACTTCATAACGGACGTCATGAGCCAGACAGTATAGTTTCGGGAAAACAACAACGTTTCCCGTCGAGAAATCGTTTAGTATATGCTGAAGCTGAAAGAAGCTGGATCCATTGAAATATCAGAGATCGTTCGCATGGCATACACTTTTCTCCAGACCGGAATGGAAGCCAGTGTCTCGTCGACTGCTTTTTGCCTTTATTAAATCGCCAAAAAATCTGAGATTCAACAGAGAGTATAGAGGGAGATCGACGAAACTCTTCAGCGCAACGACTGTTAGTTCACCTACGACATTTTAGTCGGTATGACATATTTGGACAACTGCGCAAATGAAATTTTACGCAAGTTTCCAACCCTCACATACCGTAACCTATGCACGAAATACTACATGGTCCCAGAAACCAACATTCCCATCCGGAAGGGCACTCTGGTCCATATTCCCATGTACGAACATGCATTGCGATCCGAAATTATTCCCTCATCCGAATGACTACCTCCCGGATCGTTTCAACGGTCCGGAAAGGACTTCGCCAATACCTCGGCCAAAGGATGGGTAAAATTAATGTGAAAATTGGGCAGGTTCATCTACTAGCAAACTTCCAACTAACCAATCGGGACGATCGGCTTCGGGAGGTGCAAATCGAAACACTCAGGGACGCATCGACAAGAAAATTACTCACCGAAAGTGCTCCAGCCCCAGTAGCCATTCCATGTCCTTGACGAACCACTCGGATTCGCTGACCCACTGATCGAGTGCGGCACCTTCCTCCACCAGGCCATTCCTCATCGGGAACGAAACGTACTTGGTGAAACAGCGGGACTCCATCCATTTTTCGTGCTGTTGAAAAAAATAATGTTAAGACTGTTTTGATGATGCAATAAAGGTAACACCTACCAAAGCAGGAAGCTTCCGTTTTACACCGTCCTCATCGAACGGGAGAAGTAGCTCGTTCAGCGGGAGGTTCTTTTCGTTCTGAGCAAAATGAAACTGGATTAGGGATGGAATCCATCGTCAAACAGAACATTTCACTTACCTCGAATGTCACGAAAACCATGATTGTTTTTTATGCTATTCAGTAGATTGTTAAAGTTTGAAACTAGTTCATCGAATTGTGGAGGAAACTGAAACCAAAATCACCGAATTTTCGTAGAAATTTCGCAAAAAACGCTACTCTCTTGCATTTGCTTACACGCTAACTTGAGAGTACCCATTAAATGAGTATTTTGTACTCATTTCTTGAATTCATTCCAAACTGTCAAAAAATGGGTATTTTCAAAAAATGAAAAGCGGGTAATTTTGATTCATTTTTAAAATTTGCTTCTTGTAGTTAAAATGGGTTAGAAATAATCATTAGTGATTCAATGCAAAAGTGACACCATTTTCAGAAGCGAGATAAAAGCACAGTGCGGAAGTGCAACATTTAATCCAAAAAACTGGAAAGTACGAATATTTTTCGTTGAAATTTATTCGTATACGATATTTGACAGAATTCGCTTGTCCTGTTTCCGAATGCTCTGCGATCGTTCCAGGCAATCCTATTCCAGTACGGTTCATTTAAAGCTTTGAGGGCCCCCATCCTAAGGTGTCACCCCTGGAAAGATTTACAAGATAATTTTGCCGGATTTCGAGCCGATGTGCACCAGTAAGCCAAAACCGAAGTAGAGCAAGTGCAGGGAAAAGTAGGACGCACGAGTTTTCCAAAAAATCCCTTCTATTTCCGCAGCAGGCGATGATATTTGGGCTGTGGAACCATCTCAGCACTAGCGGTTGAGGTTTTTTTTAATGCTTCGGAGTGTTCTAGGGAGTGTTTAATGTGCTAATGTTTCTTTATTCTAATAAAGAAAAAGTTTTGTTGATCTTAAGTTGACTTCTGTCGTATTTATTATTGTTAATAATGGAACGTTATAAATGGGTACTATTTATTCATTTGAAAAAAAAAACATAAAGTGTAAAAAATACCCATTGCATGACGTACTAGTCGAATACTCATTAATGAGTAAAGTCGGTTTTACTCATTTCATGAGTTAAGCCACTTTTCTTCGAAATGGGTAAAATTTTACTCATTAATGGGTACTTTGGAGTTAGCGTGTACACCGACGAAATAAAATTTTGTTTACGTCTCGGACTACTGTCAATGTCATCATCAGCTGATTGAATTTTGCACGCTAAATCGGAAACAGGAAGTGTAGAGGGTGAATTTTACCTACTTTCACTTTACGCAATCGATTTGATTTTTGAAAGGGCCTATCATGTGGCTTATACACATTCAAAAGATTTTTAATTTAACTCCTGACTGATGCATGTAGTCCATTCTTGCCCCTTATTACGAGTGTGACTTCACGGTGAAAACGAAGCGAAGTGACCACTTATCACTCCCGGTGAAGTGATTGTCGGGGCTTATTACGGTTACGGATGTCACTTCACCACGCAGAAAAATCTATCGTGAGGTAAATTCTAGATACAGATGGAATTAAGGTTTTACTCTCACCACAAAATGCGTGGTAAATTTAACGAACATAACGGGCCTTATTACACAGAAAAAAAAAAAGTTTTTGAATATTACATCCAAACTGCTGCAACCATCGGTTGTGTAATATAACGTTGTACGATGTACATCGATTTTGCGAACAAAATAACATCCATTGATGTAATATTGTATCTGCTTTTTGCTATTACATCATTATTTTCATACATCAGCTTGAATTACATTGATCGATATTACATTTTTTTTGCTGTGTACACGGTGATAAGGAAGTGATACTCAGAATAAGAGCCGTGATTACCGTACAAATCAAATGGAAATCACTTCACCGTGACGACAAGTGACAAGTTTTCATCGTGAAGTGACATCCGTAATAAGCCACAACGTCATCATCAGCATCGCTCCCTACACTAATACAATTCCACACATTTTTATTGACGAATTTCCACGTGAAATTCCACATGATTTTCATGTGACCACACATAAACAGAATCCACTCAGAAGCACACATGAAATTTATGAGTCAAATGAATAGTATGTGTGGTTACACATGGCTTTTATGTGTACACATATTAAGTATGTGTCTGACACATAGATATCATTTGTTGATCACATTGCAAAAATTCATGTGTGGGACACATAAAAACCTGGGTACTGCGAACACAGCCGTTTTTGTTTTGCAAGTCAGCAGGAAACAACTTGAAAATTTTCCGATATCACAAATTGTTTTGCTAATGCACTGCTCACAATTTGCATATACATGCTGTCGAAAGTTCACCCTTTGCTTCATAAATAACGTGTACATGGTGTTGGGAGTGCACCTACCCACATGACTCTTATAAAGTTTGTTTGCATTCTTCCTTCAGCAGTTCGTGCAGGTTCGTTCGTTCGTTACATTGTTTACATCTGACTATTTGAGCAAGTTTTTTGTTGAAGAATACTAGTAAAAAAATGCCGAAATGACAATATTTTCAACATTGACCACAATACTTTCTCTGCCGACGGGGGTTGTATGAGAAAAGTATCACTTTTAGCAGCTCTAGATCGTTGGATTCTTTTTGACAACCATTTCGTGTTTCTCCGCACCACTCAGATAAAAACAATCTTTGAAATTTTATCTGTGTACAATGACGTCACTATTTGCGTTTCCGATATTTAGAGCAACCGTACCAATGAGTAAATAAGACACATTTACCAACCTCTACCATAACGCTACTTGCGTACCGGGGGTTGTTCAGGTGGGGGAAATAGCAATCCGCACCATGGGAAGTAGAGGGGTTCATAAATTTAGCAACCCGGTAGCAACGCATCAGACAGTTGCTATTTTGAATAAACGTCAAAAGTTTGTTTTGCCGGTGTGGAAAACGGTAACTTAAATTATGACTCTGATAGCAACGACCGGTGTGGAGAGGAGTGATTAAGCCAGCATGGAAACGCTGTGCCTATAAGTAAAATAGTGCCCCAAATGGCAACGACTGGTACGGATGCTCTTACGAATACAGCAACATTTGAAGGTCTTCTTTACCTTCCTCCTGTAAAGCCCTACAGTAAAAGTATGGACGTCTGTCAAAAGTTGTTCCAATCGAATCGTCAAAATGCACCGCTTTGTTCTATTGGAACTGGGTACTGCGAACACAGCCGTTTTTGTTTTGCAAGTCAGCAGGAAACAACTTGAAAATTTTCCGATATCACAAATTGTATTGCTAATGCACTGCTCACAATTTGCATATACATGCTGTCGAAAGTTCACCCTTTGCTCCATAAATAACGTGTACATGGTGTTGGGAGTGCACCTACACACAAATAACAAAAATTGTTGCTATTAAAATTAATGCAATTTCAAAATAAAAGTTTTCTAAATTTAATAGTTTGAACTGTGAAAATTTTCAAAATGAAAGTTATATCTTTGGTTTGAAAGTGTTTCTTTCATTTCTGACTTGTAATTTTAAAAGTACATTTTTTAAAATAAAAGTTGTTCAGCTATCAAAAATACCTCTTCATAGTAAAGTTTTTGGCAGCACTGAACTCCACTTAATTTACCGCCAAATTTGAGTTGGCGAGACGAGGAAAACAAATCGTTCTACGGAAATCAAATGCGTGGAATCAGTATTTGATAGATCCCGACCAACCATTCGTGAAACTTCTCCAAAGTTCTTTGCACAAAAATAAAGATTAATGTCGGTAATTCGTTACTTTCAAGTTTCTTTGATTTCGATGAATATATTTAAAAATCTTTACTGTTCGATACTTATATTTAAGATAATTTCTTTATCGGTCGCATGACAGTAATCTATAAAGATGCCATACTAAATTTCTTCTAATTTCGATGTGTCACAAGGACTAAAGTTTTCTTTATAAATATTCATCTAAAAATATTTGAATACTGATACCATCGTAACGTTGAACTTTGGCAAAGAACAATAAAGATTGTCATTCTTCATCGAGAGAAGCATGATCTGCTGGAAAATGAACGGGAAGACTGATCGATGGCCACGATGATAAAAATGTTTGCCATTGTAGATAATAGTTCTTTAAGTTTACGTCGATACGCTCTCGGCCATTTCTTAAGAATCAGCGATATTAAGCGTGGTAGAATTCTCGGCATTTTGAACCGAATGAGGGAACTTGATACTTTGGTTATGGATATGACAAATAAATTTTGAATTCATGCTTGAAAAGATGTACATAAATTTCAAAACACCATATACTAGAGTGTGATTGCCAGTCGTTAAGAAGCTCATCAACAGCAGCTGTAGACCCGAGGATTAGCTACCAACAAAGAAATTAGTACACCCTAGGTGGCACGGGATCGAAACCTAGCAATTATGTAGATAAAAAAATCCCAAAAATATCAGTACGTGTATTGTTATTTTGATCTGACAAGAGAAATCGATATTTTGATCTGGCAACACGAATCGATATTTTTACATAGGTAACGATTAGTAGCAACATTTTGATAAAGATATTTATAAATGATTCACGGTCAGGCTTTTAGTATCTTTACATTTATTCATTAAATGGTGACGATCGCTATCGATTTTTCATATGAATGTCTTTGAAGATCGATATATCGAAAATTAAAGAAATTTAACGAAATGGTTGGTCGGGATACCTCCGGTGAAGGTAGTACAGTGGTACTTGATTGTGATTCCACCGCTACAACAGCGAATGATAGGTGAGTTGGATTTTTGTTTTTCTTAGGATCGATTAAATTTATTTTTACATTGTAGCTACATTGATCAGCCCGCTAACTCTTGGCAAACAAGCGTTTCCGTCGGGTGGTTCCTGTTTGTCACCGTATACATCACTGTCATCATCGGCCAACAAATCCCGTAACAGTGTAAAGCGTCTCTCTTGGAAGAAAATACAATCTGCGCAAAAAACCCCGTAACATTGCACCAAACCCATCATTCCGGAATCTGACAGCCGATGGTATGTGGATGTAGAGCGGCTGAACAACAACACAATGATGTATGAATTATCCTGGACCGTTAGTGATCTAGTTCGGGTGGTGGTCGTTTCCAGTGGCAGGTGGTGTTCTTTCATCGGTGTTGATGGCATTTGAATCCTAGGACTCAGACGAAATCTGCACTGGTCTCAAAAACAATGATGTATTTTCATTTTCTATACAAAGTATATGAATAAAGACAATTTTTATAAATGGTACAAATATGAGTAAGGGTATTTGTCTTTAATCTT